ATATATATATATATATATATATATATATAAAGGAAATTAGGATTAACTAAGGATGGCAAACAGTGGACATGAAAGTATCAAACTTGCAATCAATGACCCCCCCAACCATAAGGTTTCAAAGTCCACAAAACCATATCCACACAAACCAAAAAAGGAAGGAAACAAACAAGACAATTAGACAACACACAAAGAGCCCCCCCCCCCATGTCTTCTTTTTCTTTCATTTATCATCACAACTCCCACTTTCCTCCCACCTTCTCTTTCCCATGTCTCCATTCATAAGGATTTGGTCTTTCTTTTCTTTTCTTTTTTTTTTTTGGAGTCAAAAGAGACTTCAATGTGTTAGCTGTAGAAAAAGATGAACTACCTTTGAATGATTCCTATACACCAATTCAAAGTTGCCCTAAAGTATTTTGACTTAGGAAACTGAGGTGGGTCATTGCTTTTCTGTCATAATTCCCCATTCAGGTGGGACCAAAATATTATGGGTCTCACCTGTTTTCCTGTGGCTGGAACCATTACACTTGGGCAGGAAGATTTCTAATCATTACAAGAAGTTATACTTATTTCAATATTCTTCTGAACTCGATTCAATAAAGCCTTTTTTTTTCCAATTATTTGGGTCAGATACATGTTTCTTTGTGTTCTATTAAGGGCCATATTTTCCGTTAAATCTCAATTTGGGAGTAGTTTCACAGGTTCAGATTATTAGATTAACACAATCCACTTCTTAGTGCAATACACATTAGCAATCAGCTTGTGGAAAATCAACCCAAACATCATCACATATCTACTTTGACCCCATTTAGATTTTCTACACAAAAAAACATAAGAACAAGGATACATATGCTGTAGTAATGTGTAGAATTCTCATTCAGAATGACCCAATTAATTAGACCAAAGCCATGAAAGTTAATCGATGATCGACATGCTTAGTAATCAGGGGTGTTTGAGTTAATTTATGCATACATTGAGTAATCCCCTTCTCGATTCGGTCAAAGGCAGGTCATCCTCGCTTGGGGCTAGGATATTTATATGGGATAATAAATTTCAAATAAACTGACTCCAAGAGTTTGTAAAAATTTGAACTCGGGACATCTGGGTCTACAGTTCGTCTTTCTTATCACTTGAGCTACCTTGGGTTGTAATCCAAATACTATCACCACCTCAAAGATGGGAATTCTAAATAAAACTTTCTGCTTCTGAAAAAATTTCCAAGATGAAAAAATTCAAGCAATTACCCAGTGATAGCCATTTGAGTATGTAAAATAGAGCAGTTCGAATAGGACTCCTTACACATCAATTGGTGCTTCTGTCTTCTATTTGAGTATGTAAGGCTATGGTTTTGAATGAGGTGCTCTACCAAAAATTATAACTTTTTTCTGTAGGTTACGACAAAAAAAAGTAGGATTTATTCTAACATTTTTGGATTGATCTTGAACAAATACATTCAGTGTTTACATGCCTTGTGTAGTGCAAATAAAATTATTAAAAAAAATCGTTGAATACTTACAACACAAGCACATAGTATGCCTCGTGCCTGCCTCTTGGCATTTTCCTCTCTAACAGACAGACAATAAAAGAGTCAAGATTCCATGCCCATTCCCCCATTTCCCTACTCTTTCCCCTCCCCCCCAAAAACAAAATACACTCATCCCAAACAGCCCATTATGACATGTAACATTACATTTGCCAATGTTATCAACCCAACCGTTAATTCAAAAGCTTCAAAACTTGTAGGATTAGATTTTATAACTATAGTGCGGCTTCGCTCACCTACCAGTATTCACCGTGAACGCAGTATATTCATATAGAATACTAAACATTTTAATCTAATCTATAGGCCGTCCCGAACCGAACTCATAACATGGTGTTTGCTCTGATATCAATTGTTACGAACTGCATCATTAATCCAAAAAGTTCAGGACTTGTGAGGGATTAAAGCTCGGAACTATATGATCGTAACAGCCTCATTGATTCCATATTACATATAAACTTAGTTATATAATCATACAGGCAAAAAAAATAAATAAAACCCTAATTCAAGAAAATGAATTAGAAGAACCTGAAACTCTAGGAGATGAAACTGGGAACAAGGGCAAGAGTCGGGGCTCCGAATCCCTCGGAGTATTCGCTGGAGATGGATGGAAGAAAAAACCCTTTTTGGCAATCGCTTTGTCCTCAGCTTCCAAATCCAAATTATTTCCAATAACACCAGTGTGTGGAGACCTGTTAAACGGGTCGGGTATCAGAGGAGTAACCGGGCTGAGAACCAGAGATGGAAAATCAAGAATACTCGGTGACAAAATCTCAGGCGTTCCGGGTTTTCGAGGGGAATTCGAATACCCCCCTGAAAACCCGGAATTGTTCAGGACTCCGGGGATTAAAGGGCTAATCTTGAAGTTCTTGAGACTGTTTCTTCTCTCGTAGAGTTTTGAAGCTTTATCTTTCCTGGGTCCGGTTTTGATGGGTGGAATAGGGTGGTTTCTTGGTGGGTCGGTTCTGGACACAGCGGTGGCGGCAGCGGCGACCTTGGCGGTTTCTGAGGATCCGGTGAGCATCTGAACAACTTGCTTGAAGGAGGTGGTGTCTGCTTGGACGAAGGTTGTTGGGTACGGGTTGTTGGGTTCGGATCTGGTGATGGGTAGGGCTGTGGTGGGTGCTTGTAGTGGTGGTAATGGTTGATGATGGAGTCCATCGCTGCTGGTGCTACTGCTTGAACTGGGTGTACCATGGCTATTTGGGGTGGGTAAGAGAGATGGGTTTCGGTTTTCTTGGAATTTTAGTGAGTTTTCCATTGTTGGGTCTATTGGGAGAGAGGGAGAGAGAGAGAGAGAATTAGGGAATTTTAGACAGAGAAAGTGAGGTGAAGTAGTGTAGAGAGAGAGAGGGGGGGAAGAAGAACATAGTTTGATGAGAGATCAGATGAGATGAGAGTTTGGCATCTTCCACTGCTTTGTTACTTTCTTTGGTTTGGTAAGAAATGTTTTTGTTGAAGACAATGGGTCTTTTGTTCTACTTTCTCACTCTCTCTCAGGAGAGTGGGGTCAACCGTCCAATCATATTTTGGCTTTGTGTAGTTTATGTGGGGCTATTCACCCTTGCATGAAGAAAGAGAGTGGTGGAGTGTTTGGGGAATGGTCCAAACCAGGGACATGCCATTGGTGGTTTTTGGAATTTCAGACCCTGAAGGGTGCGGTGGGGCTAAGAGAGAAGAAAATGTCAAGCTAGTGCAAGTATAGGCCATTGACTTGAAGGGGCCCTTGAAAGCTGAATATGACAATAGTTTATTTATTTTTTTCTGGTCAGTTTCTGAAATTAGTGCGGAGTTTTTTTTAGGTAAATATCTTTGAATTCGGAGTTTGGTCCAACAAGAATCATACATAAGATCTTATTGTCTTCCTCTCATTCTTCTTGCTTGCTGGAGAATAAAGGGAAGTCGGGTTTTTTCAATGACCCGAGAAGATTAAACTTAGGTGAATTGTCAAGTTTCACTTATTGTTATTCTAAAATCTATCGAGAAAGATTTTAAACGGTTGATAATTTTTAGACAATTGTTTTTGAGTGGTTCAAATAATTTATTGTATGATTTTTTTGGATGAAAACAGTGAATAAACACAGTGTATGGAACTTCTAAAAGAACAAACTTTTTATTAATTCAATTGAACGGAGATCGGTTACAAAAAAATTGGTTAATAGACTTGAAAGCAGCGGTAATTGTTTTATATTGTTTTTATAAAACTAACTAAAAAAGTACTCCTAAAAATATTCAAATTTTGGATCTTGTAGGGGTTTGAGTATGTCATTCATTTTTTTTATTACGTGTTTTTTATAGTCACTGTCTTCGACGATTTTTGCTTCCAATGAAGGTTACCTAACCTTCAATCAATTATTTTTCTTTTTTTCAAATATGGTTGCGGCCAATCGTCTCTTGCCTTTTTAGATTTTTGTCACATGGCATCTCCTCGGTGCATCCAAATTGTCAAACATCAATACATTAAATATTTATAAGATTTGATATTTCATGTGTAAATACCTACATTGCGGTTTAACAAGTTTGAATTTCTTTTCTTCACGAGGGAGTATAAGATTTAAATGGCTTCTAATTACCTATTTCGGCACGACACTTTTTCATGTAACCAGCATTGGATGATAGCATTTCCAAGGCGTCTGTGATTGAGATATTATTTAGTTGTCATTTTTGTGTTTGTTTTTGGGCAAAGTGTCCATTGTGACACCTTAATTTCAATGCCATTATGCCATTTGTATCGACCTTAGAGCATTGGGTACATGAGCAAGCACTTGCAAAAAACTTTCTTTTTCGAGAATGCTAGAGTTTGAGTTTCTAACTCTTTAACCCCTCTCCTCTCTTATAAGATGTCATGTTAGTATTTAATCGATCGTGTCATGAATTTGTGTGAGGGATCGTCAAAATACCAAATCATCCAAAACAAAGACGCATGATTTTCAGTGATGGTTATTTAGTTATAGAAGCGATCTCATAAGTTTTTGCTTTCACATCTTTCTAAAATCTCTCTAAAATTACGGTCAAAATAAAAATCTTGATTTATTTAATTATTATTAAGAAATTGATTGTAATTTACTAATTTTATAAAATTTTGTTATAAATCTCAACTTAAATCCATGGTTATGATTAAATAGATATCAAGTTCTGAAAATTTTGAGAAAAGAAGAGTTTAAGTGTCAAACCAAATTAAGAGATCTCTAATACACTTTCAATGCTTGAGATAAAAGTAATGACCTAGAAAGGCCTAAAACCCTTAATTTAATTTTAAACTCAGGATAATTAGGTTAAAATGAATTTGAGAATTATCCGTGAATGACTCGTAGGATTTTTCCTAAAAACGATTTTCTAAACCTTAAATATGTTCTAAAAACATAATTTGAGTTATTCATCGCACCATATTTGAGTAACACCATTTAGTATTCAATAAATCTTACTTTTGCTTGATTTCTAGCTTTAAAACTAGTAGATATCGCCCTCGACTTACTCACGTTCAACTAGAATAGTTACGGAGACTAAACTGGAGGATCAATGGAGATGATTCTCTGTTGACTTTCTAGCCGCTCCCAACCGTTCAAGCGGTTTGAGAGATGGTTCGAATACTCTTGAGATGGTTCGAGCAGTTTGTTCCTTGCACATCTAGAGTGACTTATTTTTCACTCCAGAAATCACCTCAATTTAGAATTATAGTAAGTGATATTTATCTCTTGACCCGATATATCGTGGGTTTGAATCAAAAAAAAATTCTCCCCAAAATAAGTGTAGGTTACGCCTCACACTTACCTCTTACATACGCTATGGACGAAAAATGTTATTTACTCAAAAATGACCCTATATAGCACTTTGTCAAGTCAAATTGGTTGATAGCCACATTAATGCTGATGCTTATTGCCTGAATCTTGAAACTACATCAAGAAGAAAAAGTGACAATGAGAGGTGAATCAAGTTCTCATTTATTAAAGAAAATTATAAAAAGTAAATGCCATTTAAAAGATGAAGGGACCACTCCTTTTTCGATGTGGTACCATCGATGCAAGAGGGTGGTTTTTCTCTTGTGCTGATTTATTTTGAGAGAGAGAGAGAGAGAGAGAGAGTCATTTTTGAGAAGATCATATCATGAGAATTTTGTCATCTTAATGAAAAAATGAAAAATAAAATTCAACAAGAAAAATGAGTGAATGAAAGTAAGTCATGGGTAGCTTAAGTAGTAACAGAAACGAACTGTAAATTTAAAAGTTTTGAGTTCGAATTTCAGCAATTTCTTGTGGCTAGGCTATGATGATTTATCCATAATGAATACTTTAATTCCAGAGTGGATGACTTGTCTTTAATTAGATCGGGAAGAAGATTAGTCAATGTGTGCATAAGTTGGTCTGAAAATCTCTAACCGTTGAACTAAAAAAAAAAGAAAAAGAAAATAAACTAGTACTGCTGCCAAAACTTGAAATGCCTTCAACAATTAGTTACATAAAATGACTTTAAAAGCAACAAAAACAAGCTCTAATAATTATTACGTTTTTCTAAAATTGAATAATGGATTTCTCTTCAAGAACTACGGAACTAGGAGATATACTTAACAATCCTGATTTCCTTGAGTAATGTTTTCTTTCATTTTCTTCCTTAGTAGACCGGTCATTATGTATTACTGATAGACTTACATACTTATATACAATGTATTTCACTTGCATTCACGATAAAAGATCTACTAAAAAGAAAATAGTCAATTTAGTGACTCATTTGAGATCACAGGGAGGAAACTTTGAAGATTTACACATTAAGCTCACAGCGGTACAAATTTTGCAACTAGGAGTAAGTTATATAGCCTCAACGGGATGGTCTAGCTCCTGCCTCATGTACCTTGAGGCTCCCCTTATTGTGCGATCTTAAGATAAATTTTTTTCCATAAACACGTGCACTCAGATAGGAGACTAATCCAACATGCATAATTACGAAATTTGAACTCAACAATAGCCTTGTGTCTCACTTCCCTTATCAAAAACTGACTTTAACATCGGAGGAGAATCGCGGGAGATACTCCAACATTTCTTCTAACCTTTTTTTGTGAGTGACAAATCATTCGACCCAAGGATCCGGTGTCTTCCTCCGAGTGCAAGCCAGGCTCTTGTTATCTCAAACATTGTGCTAGCCGTACACCTTGGTACACATGAGCTGATAAGAAAAAATTTATAGCATTATTATATAGAACAATCTTGCAGTTAGACCCTTTAATCTCTACACTGCGGTTTATGACATAGTTGATCTGTTGTAAAACTCAAATTAAAAGGTAAACCAAAGGGTCCCCAACCAAAGCTTCCAGCGTGTGGTGGTGTTGTGTGTGTGTGAGAGAGAGAGAGAGGTGCCTAAGTTGGAAGTACAAATCTTGGATGGGCTGGGCCTTTTGAGCCTAAGTTGGAGATGCAATTCAGGTGGTTTGAATGGGTTGAATAATCTATCTGAATCTAATTTGATTTTAGTCAGAATTCAAAGTTGATCCATTCTTTTTAGCTAAAGTATTGTCCAGGTTTAAATATTTGAAATTTGAGTGAAATCTGGTCGCATAATGTGTTGAAATTGGGTTGAATTCGTGTTTAGTTCTCTAGTAATACAATTTAGAGTAGAATTCAACTTCGATTCAAGTTACACCTTGTTTTGAACTCAAACTCAATTCTTTTGTTAAACCCTTCGTACTATAATGTGGGTTCAATTTGGGTCAAACCCAAATTTATTAATTGAAGTTAGGTTCGAGTAAGGTCCCAATAACGCAAAATCCCAATTTGAGATGTGCACGAATCTAAATCGAATTTTGATTTTATTGCTCAAACCCAACTCGAGAACTAAAAATCCTGGTTGAAGTATTGAAGATTTCGAGTTGGGCTTGGAATAACACACTTGCTGCAGCCTACTCATATGTACCTGGGAGTCTGATTAGATCATGAGACAATGACCAACAATCTTTCCCAAACCAACCCAAAATAAAGAAACTGGACACGAAGTGGGACAGTGTATGCAAGGATTGTTTGGCTGGGTTGGGCTGTAACCACTCAGAAAATATGCACATTAAAGGCTCCCCCGTCCGCCTGCTATTAGACTTTAAGTCGCAGATTCAAATGTTGGTATGCATTATCCCGAGTTTGGGATTATACAATATAGTTAGAATTTTTGGGAAATAATGTTGATAAAGTTGGTATGCATTGCCTTATTTCAAATTGGGATTGATGGTGTTTAGTTTAGGGAAATTGGAGTCAGTTATACTATTTCTTTTCTTACTAAGCTTCAAGAGTAAACTACCAAAAGATAACCTATGATGGATTCATTAGAGAGAACAAATGCAAAGACACCATTCTTCAGCCACTTATTACAATAAGACACCATTCCTCACCACTACAACAAGTCATTCAACCACTCTCACAAACCGAATCAAGAAAACTTAATACTAAATGATGATAACCCATAAAACAAGTTTATTTCTTCTCAACAATAACAATGTGAGACAGTGACATAGTCTAGTAACAACGCCTAGGAGGTTCAAAGGCGAAAGGGCCAACTGAGAAGAGCTCGAATGGAAGTTGGAGCGGTGGCGTGGGGCTGCGCTCCAAGGCGGCGCCGGTGATTCCATCGTTTAGATCTGTGGGTATTTTGCAGTAAGCCAGGGGAGACGAGACTATGGAGACCTTGCACTTATGGTTACTAGCAGTGGTGACAGACTTTCTGCCTTGTGGGAAGATGAGGAAGTAACCGTTCTTGTCTGTTGTGGCTTCTATTTCCAATTGGTACCTGCTGTTATCGCACTGGAGTTTCACGACGGCACCTACACAGTACACAGTCATAATAGTACAGAAGCATTAGGTTGTAAACTGAGAAACTCCTCTCTCTCTCTCTCAACCTCAAACACAAATGTGGAGTGAGGAAAATATAAACAATAGTTTCAAAGTTGAAAAGACGAAAACTAACCAGGAATTGCCGTAGCATTCCATAGGGTATGGATCCCAGTGAACTTGCAGGACTTGCAAAAAACAACACCTTGCACAGCTATAGGCTTTCTGTATGGGAGAGGATGAAAGTGAAACGGTGGCGGTGCCTGTGCCGGGTGGTGGCCGGGACGGTGATACGGATACCAGCTGTGTTTGGGGGTTTCAACGGGAGGATAAGTCGGAGGACTTACCAAGTCAACCTCATCACCAAGCACAGTGAAGCAGCTTAGTAGTAGCACTGAAAGCTGCACAAGAACAAGAGATTTTGCACGAACAAGAGCCATAGTTGAGAGAGAGAGAGAGAGAGAGAGAGAGAGAGAGAGAGAGGAGTGGAGTGGGGTTTAGCATAGAATCGGAGTGAATTTATAGTGCTTTGAATTGCGGCATCTTCTGGTGTGGGTTAGCCTCCTCTCAAATTGTAAGCGAATCATACTATATATGAGCGATGGTACATAGACCTTATTGGCCATCATCTACAATTAACCCTAATTTAATATCGTAGATTTTATTTTTTTTGAGGGGAGACTTGAACTTTTGACTTTAAAAAAGTAAAGTTCTCACAAAGCAATTTGTATTATTGAACCAAAAATCCGATAATGGTCATTAGATTAATTATAAGTTCTTATGTCAAATGAAACACACTTTTAATTTAATGGTAGTATTAAATTAACTCTCTAGATTAAGAATTTAAATTAGGTCAAAAAAACATTTTTCATTTGTAAAATAATTGGAGAATAATAATTTGTAAAATAAAAAGCATCTATTCGCATTGATAAACTTAGTCTATCCTAAATTTTTTAAAA